ACTTTGCCTATGGCTATGGTATTACCGAGAAAGTGCCGGGAAAGTTTTCAAAACGCGAAAGACGATGAAGATGAAGGAGGATTGGAACTCGGTTGAATTTCTGGGTGTTCTTTTCGTGTATAAATAGAATCTTCAAAGGAAACAATGACGAAAGATACTTCAAAATTTCTTTTAATTAATCGTCAAAACTAATTTTCCTATTGTTTTTAACCAAGAAATAACAGTATGTTCAAATGTTAATCTTTAAATACATTTATTCAAATGGTTAAATAAACCGTTGTTGTTCTTAGAGTTTATGGTTCGAGCACCAACGATTGCAGCACGGTAATTGAACGTTTATTAAATTAATTTAAATGGTAAAGTACACATATAGTCCCTCGATTATAAAATATTATTTTATTGAGTCTTTTGACTATTTAAAGTTATAAAATGATCCTATGACTATATAATGTTACTTTTTTAAGTCATCGACTATTAAAAGTTACAAAGTGATCACCTGATTATTCATTGTGTTCCAAGCTCATAATTTTTATTGAAAATTTAATGGTAGTTTGAGTTAAGCGTGAACTTTATGACCGAGAAATGATAGTCGTTTGAGACTGTGAGTTCATATTATATCATATCTCGGCCAGTAGGTTGACGTTCAACTAAAATTGCCATCAAATTTTTAACGAAAAAAGACGAGTTCTAAACACAATGAATAGTCGAGTGTCCATTTTGTTACTTTTAATAGTTAAGAGATTTAAAAAAGTAATGTCTTATAATTGAGGACCATTTTATAACTTTTAATAATAAAATGACTTAATAAAATAATACCTATAATCAGGGACCACTCGTGTAATTTTCATAATTTAAATTATCGATTAACCTAATAAGATAAAATATTTATTAAGATTTTTTACAAATGATTTTTTCTATTATTCAATTTAAATAATCAATTAATATATTAAATAACAATGATTATATAAAAATAATAATTTTAATATTGTATCCGGATATAAAGACCATTTGGAAGGAAGGAAGATTCCGAATTTTAGGAACGAATTTTAGGAAGATTCCGTATACATATTTAAATACAAGTTAAAGATGTCACATAACATTTACAAACATTATATAGTTGAAAAACCGGTACAAATTTATTTTTAAAAAAAAACCTTATTCAATTCAATTCTTTCAATATAATAAATTAGTAACGTAAATCATAATACAATATTTAGAACACCCAAATCAATAATAGTGTTAGGCATCAACTATATAGTTTTATACTGTTTCCTATCATATCAGAAAATAAATTCCTTAAAATCTTTCGATGTTTATTTGATATTAATTTCATGTCACAAAATCTGTGTTAACCTTAATACTTCAAGTTGACCATTCAATCTCCTTTTAAACCAAATTCATCAAAACTTCACATGAACTTTGCATTTTTAACCACAAATTATGAATTCTTTTAGAATTCATCTCAACTTTTTCGTTTCATTCGAAATGGTCTTTAAGTCTTTGCTAAATTAAAATTCAATACTTAAAATTCCAGCATTGGATCAACATAATCAATCTAGTACATTTACAATTGCATAATTACCTTTAAACCCTCCAAACTTTCCAAACTTCCCCAACTAATCATCAAACTTGGCAAGTTTCCAAAATGATTCAATTTCACATTCTAACTTTTATTACAGCATGGTACAACAACTATTGCACAATTATACATTGATCCCATAATTTCCGAATAGGTCTGTCAACTTTCACAAAATTACTAAAGGGCCCTTATAACTTTTTAAGACTTATAGAATCTTTCCTACATCATTTTCAACCCTTACATAATTTTTCACAATTTTTCTCACCCTTTAATACCATAGCCGAACACTTTAGGGTAGGATCTCAAAGATTTCCAATTTGATTCAAGTATGAATTCAATCACAAATCAACATTTCCAAGCTTTATTTTAACTCCATAACACTTGTAACATCAAAAACCAACCTTAAATCATAAGAATTACATTCCCCTTCAACCACATCTTCCAAATTCAATCATGAAACATGAAGATTTTTACACCAAATGAAAGAGATAAACTTTTCTATTATACCTAAGCCAAAATCCTAAGAAAAATGGCTCAAAATTTAAAAAGATTTTTTTTTCTCAGAAGCTCACGGTAGCAAGCTGATTGAGAACTCTCTTTTTCTTGAAAATTCTAGCAATCATCATCCTTTACATATGTTTAAAAAATCATTTAAAATGAATTAAAAGTTCATTTTTGTTTAATGACACTTTTGCCATTAATGAATCTTAATAATAACAACTTTGTCACTCCATGACATCATACCTTACATCATCTTATCTATAACAAAAATATCATATTCTTGATTTTTCATGTTTGTCCTTGAAATTTTCCATAAATTCAATTTAGTCACTAAATTGCACCTTTCCACTCTATAATGCAATTTCCACCAATCCACCTCAAATCCTACCAATTAAAATGTCAATATAATTTTTTTAACTCCAAATACCTTCCTTTAAATTTTTGTAGAGTTCCAATTCGATCCGGATAACAGAATATTTTATCGAATCGAAATCTTAATTCGTAACAATTCCATCTTTAAAGATAAACTTTTCATTTATGGAATTTTTTTGGAAAAAAATATCACTTCGATCCTTGAACTATTCCAAATTTCTAATTTAGCCACCAAAATTCCAAAACTTACATTTTAATCACTTGTTACAATTTTGGGATAATACACGGGTTGATCTAGATTAAATAGGATAAAGTCTTGAAACGGGAGGGAATAAAAAAAATATTTTTTGCCTTGAGAAATAGTATATATTATAAGACATGTTTACCACGTTATGTAGTTTGATGATGGGACGCCATACCAGCATTATCCAGCCAATAAAAATGATATAAACTGAAATGGAAGCCAGCAATGGCCTTGGACCACTTTTATCCATGTTCAGTATTTATCTCAATATTTTTATTCAACAAAATAAAAAATTAATTGAAAAAATAAAAAAATTATAATAATTTCCCCTAAATACATAAAACTCAATATACAATTATCTCATATAAAGTATTTTCATTATAATCTACGAGGCAATTCAAGTTTTGTTATCCCTACTTAAAACATGTAAAAAAATTATGATATGTTACATGTATAAAAGAAGGTTAACTACACAATTAATTACTTGTTTTTGTTTTGTATAATTTTCTTCGTTGATTTCAAAAAATATAATATATGATAATTTTTATTTTTATTTAATTAAGATAATGTCACCACGAATTAAATGTCGTCAACATTTAACAAATTAGATAACATGATATTTTGGTATAATCACGTATTTGATCTCTATTATTTATATATTCTCTCAATTTAGTCACACTTTTAATAAATTAAAATAAATTTAATCCTCTAATCGAATAATTTCATGTGTTACCGGTGTCACATGCCACCATGAGGTTGGATGACTAAATTTATTTTAATTTAGTCCTACTTATAATATATTTTATGTTGAAATATTTTGAAGTTAAAATAAGAATAAAGTATATTAAATTAAAATAAATTAGTCATCAAATCGAATGGTGACACATGGCACGACACGTGGTACCAGCGATGTGTGACATCATTCGATTGGAGAATTAAATTTATTTTAATTTATTAAAAGTAGAACTAAATTGAAATAATATGTAAACAATATGGAACAAATGTATGATTAAACCAAAATATTTAACGACAATTAACTCGTGATGACTACGTCTTAATTAAATAAAAACAAAATTGATCATATATTATATTTTTTGAAATTAATGAGGAAAAATGGACAAAACGGTAACATAAGTCGTCAATCATGTAGTTAACCCATAAAAGAATATTAAAATTTTAAAATAATTTGAGATTATTATGCACGAACCAAATTAACTCAATGATTAAAGGAATGAATGTTATTCTTAGAGGTTATGGGTTCGAGCACCAACGATGAAAACATGAGTGATTGAGCGTTCATTGTAATATGATTGAGAGTAAATACTATTTTATAATCGTCATAACTTAATAAAAAAAAAGAATTTGAGAGTATTCTATATATCATCTCAATCAATTTGAGATTACTAATAATAATTGAATATTTTGTATACATCACTAATTAATATTTTATTATCAACTGGATAATTTTTGTTCAATAACAAAAATAATAAGAAATTAAATAAACTACTAAATAAATATGGGCCGGCTAAAGACCCTTACTTATACTCACCTAATTGGGCTGAGCTATACGGTATTTATTTAAATAAAATATTAAATTCATTTTTTATTTAAAATATAACATTAATATAATGTTTAATTAAAAATAAAATATTAAATTTATTTAAGTGGTTTAGATGCTATCGAAATTTTCAATTGACTTAGATTTAAGTCCTATTTTATTACTTTTATTTTTTTTATTTTTCTACAATTTATTCTATTATAAGATATATACACCTTATGTAAACCAGAACTAAGAATGACATTTAACCTAATAGTAAGTGTGCTTGGCCTTTCTTCCACAAACCTATATTTGAGCCCTCATAAACTCCAAAATTTATTTATTTATTTTCTCATTTTCCAATCAGATTATGGCATGTATTATCATTAGATTGAATGATACGAATTTTTTTGAATTAAATTAAAACTAGGATCAAATTGATATAATGTGTAAGTAATGATGGATAAATGTGAAATTATATAAATTTTTAACTATCACGTTAGTCCCTCCGTTAAATATTAACGACATACTGTTTGATTGGCAACACTTAAAAAGTTACGTGGCTTAATTGATAAAATTAAAAGATTAGTAGTAAAAACAATAATTAAGTGTTAATGATTATAATTTACCTTAAAGTTAATATAGAGTGAATTGTAAGCAATAAGGACTAAACTGTACAAATGAAAAACAAACAAGGACTAATCCGAAGTTTTGGAAAAGAATTGCAGGCGGTATAAAAGCCTGAGAGCCTTAAACCCTAGTTCCAACTTCCATGTCTCTTAGTTCATTTTCCAAACCATAGACAACCAGACACACCTATTTCAGTTGGCTTTGATTGTTTTTGAAGCTAACAAAGCTCTCTCTTCACTGTGGTTTGGGTTTCTGGAGCTTTTCTTCAATGGCTCTCTACTTGTTGTTCGAGTCATCTTCAGGGTACGCGCTGTTCCAGGCTCACGGGCTCGATGAAATCGGTCAAAATACAGAGGCCGTCAGGAACTCCGTTTCTGATCTGAACCGGTTCGGCAAAGTGGTCCAACTAACTGCGTTTCAGCCTTTTGAGTCAGCTCTCGATGGTCTCAATCAATGCAATTCTGTTTCCGAAGGTATCATAACATTTTACGTTTTCTTCAAGATTCCATGTGTGTTTTTCATGTTGCCACCAGTTATATTCTTTTGATTATTTTTTATGGATATGTATGTCTTCTGCAAAGACATCTGTTAGTACAAGATTGCAAAGCTTTAGTTGCTCTTTTATATAAGTTATCGTGTTTACTCGGTTGTATATTGGGATACTAGAAATAAAGGGGTTTTCCATTTTCATTTACTGATTTTTGTGATATCTGATGAAGATAGGTTCCTCTTAAAGTTTTAATGCTTAATAATCATTCTGAACTAATTGAATTATTGTCTCTTTATGACACATTTGAAATGAGTTTGCTTGTTTTTCAGGTTGGGTTAACTATTGGGTTATGTTTTGTTTCATTTGGCAGGACTAATGACTGATGAGTTGAGGAGTTTCTTGGAGCTGAATCTCCCAAAAGTGAAGGAAGGCAAGAAGCCAAAGTTCAGCTTGGGAGTTGCAGAGCCTAAGCTTGGTTCCCACATCTCTGAGACAACTAAAATTCCATGTCAGAGTGGAGAGTTTGTTCTTGAGCTTCTTCGTGGCGTGCGGTTGCATTTCGATAAGTTTATCAAGGACCTAAAGGTTTGCATAGTTATTTATGTTTCTTTTACAAGTGTTTATTTTCCTCGTTTGCTTCACGTTGATCTTCATGTCTCTTCTTAAACATGGTAGTCTGGGGACTTAGAGAAAGCTCAGCTTGGTTTGGCTCACAGTTACAGTAGAGCGAAGGTAAAGTTCAATGTCAATCGAGTTGACAATATGGTTATTCAAGCAATTTTCCTTCTTGATACTCTTGACAAGGATATCAATTCCTTTTCCATGAGAGTGAGGTTTGTATCACTTTACCCTGAAGCTAGCATCTTTTTTAGTTCAGTGCGTGTTCATGCATAATTTTATATAACAGTTATCCCCTGGTTGATTTCTTCCTGCAGGGAGTGGTACTCTTGGCATTTCCCCGAGTTGGTAAAGATTGTCAATGATAATTATCTGTATTCTAGAGTTGCAAAGCTTATAGAGGACAAGTCAAAGTTGTCTGAAGAACATGTCCCTGCCTTAACTGAGATACTCGGGGATGAGGACAAAGCAAAAGAAATTGTAGAAGCTGGCAAAGCTTCAATGGGTACACATCTTGCATTTATGTTTCAGTTCAACCTTTTTTTTTCTCCGCATAATCCTAATTACCTTTTCCTTTTCTCCTACTCATTTGCAGGACAGGATTTGACCCCAGTTGATTTGATTAATGTTCAGCTTTTTGCTCAGAGGGTAATGGATCTTGCCGAGTACAGAAAGAATCTTTATGACTATCTTGTGACTAAGATGAATGACATTGCACCAAATTTAGCATCATTGATCGGGGAAGTTGTTGGGGCCCGTTTGATATCTCATGCCGGTAGTCTCACGAATTTGGCTAAGTGCCCCTCTTCCACTCTCCAGATTCTTGGTGCAGAGAAGGCCCTTTTCAGGTATTTTGCTTCTCTCTCTCTATTCTTATGAAGTGATGCAGTACGGAAACACATGGAACGCTAATTTAGGCCCTCTTTGAACCAAGCTTGATTCATGTCTTCTAAAATCTTGTATAGTAATCCAAGTATATGCTCTTATCGAGACTTTCCCCCTAATCGAATGTTTTAAGATTTTGCTTCACTCGTTGCTTGCTGGCTTCAGGGCACTAAAAACACGTGGAAACACACCCAAGTATGGTCTAATTTTCCATTCTTCTTTCATTGGTCGAGCATCTGCAAAAAACAAGGGCAGAATGGCACGCTATCTTGCAAATAAGTGTTCAATTGCATCTCGTATAGATTGTTTTGCAGGTAATCTTTTATCTTCTTTTCTCTTACACTGCAAGTTTTCCCGTAATACATGTCGATTGTCTTGTTTTCAGAGAGGGGCAGCACTGTTTTTGGGGAGAAACTGCGGGAACAAGTGGAGGAACGACTTGAATTCTATGACAAGGGTGTTGCGCCACGAAAAAACATTGATGTGATGAAATCTGCGATTGAAAGTACTCAGAGAAAAGGTACACTGATCTGTGACTCCGTTTACAATTTTAATTGTCTATTTCACATTTTAAAAGGATATTTAGTCAATAGACAAAAGGGTGATACTTCACATCCAAGTCTTTGATTCGATATGCTGCCTGAACTCATTGGTTTCTACTGGAGGTTGAACATGCTGCACGTCTGCTCTCTCTGTGTATGACATTCTTATTGATTATTTTACTGCGTGTCTTGTACAGATACGGAAATGGAAGAAGTACAGCCTGATGAAACCTCTGCAAAGAAAAGCAAGAAAAAGAAATCAAAAACCGATGATGCTCCAGCTGCTGCTACAAATGGAGATGCACCGGAGGAATCTAAATCGGAGAAGAAAAAGAAGAAAAAAGAGAAACGGAAGATGGAGGAAGAGATGGATCACGAAGAGGAGAAAACAAATGGAGGAAACGAGGATGATGGAACAGCCAAGAAGAAGAAAAAGAAGAGTAAAGATGAAGCAGCTACAGATGAAACTAAGAAGAAGAAGAAGAAGACCCAAGAGTGAATCTAATCTCTATTTGCTGAAATTCATATAATCAAATGCTAGTAGTTGTTTTATTTTGAAAATTCTATTAACTTCTAGGTTTTGGAATCTATTTGGCCGACGTTTCTGGTTGAATATGAAGATGGCAGTTGGAAGTCTTTGATTTTGGAAATAGTTTTCAGACAATGAGTGGAATTTGAGTTGGGCTTGTTCAAAGTAGGCTCAAATTTTTGAAACACTTGTAAGAGTTTTCATATGATTATATGTTTGCCATTGATGGCCTAAATCGAAGCCTTCATTCACATGATTAACACGAAAAAACATGTTAAAAATCGATTCAATCGAATTGCAGATGAATTTTAGATGGAAGAGATAATCAAATTCTAGGTAGCTCAATGGGGAATGATAGATGTTCGAATGATGAAGAAGATAGGAAAATAGCGGAGAGCCTTCGCTTGGGATAAAAATAATGGTGGATGACAAACAAAATTACACCATGATCTTTATACGAGGGATCATAATTTTGAAGGCAAACAGATAGCGCATCGGCGGCAGGAGGGATCATAATCGAGTGGCCATCGAGAGACGGAAGATAAGCAAAATGTTTGAGCCAATTCTTTTGTTTTGTGCCCAAATTCTTCCATCTTCAACCAACCATTCCTTTCACAAATCTCTCTCTTCCATTCAATTTAAACCCTTCCTTCCCTAAACCTCCCTACAATCCAATTGCTCCTCACAGAATCAATGGAGGACACTCTCTTCCCCAATAAACCTCTTCACCCGAAACCACCTCAATCAAGCAAGCCTGTCAAATTCAGCTCCGTAACACTCCCTCAATCTCATTCTCCTCCTTCAGTCCCTCTGGACTCTCTTCTCCAGCACCTCCTTCACCTTTCTTCATCACCCACCACCACTCCCAACAACCCCAAACCAATTAATCCCCCTTCCCCTCCTCTTTACATGTCTTCACAATCTACTTCAGAACTTCAGTTAGACAACGGTGGAGAGGAAGAGGGAGGTCATTCCGGTGATGGGTCGCTTGAATTTTTGACAAGGGTATGCTTAATTCCATAAAGGAACAGCCCTTGAATGCCCTGCCTGATTTCTTTGATTCTGTTAAGTTTGAGCTTCTTCAAATTGATATGTCTGGTTTGTTGGAGGCTTTAGACCTTTCAGGGGATTGGGGAAGAGCTCTCGTGTTGTTTCAATGGGTAGTTTCAGACGTAGGCTCCCGTAATGTTAAACTAGACAATCAGGTTGTCGAACTGATGGTCAGAATTCTAGGGAGAGAGTCGCAGTATGCAATTGCATTGAAACTGTTTGATTTAATTCACATAGAGGAATATTCGCTTGATGTTCGAGCTTATACTACTATTCTTCATGCATATTCACGGTCAGGTAAATACAAAAGGGCAATATCCATGTTTGAGAAAATGAAGGAGATGGGCCTTTCTCCTACTATAGTCACCTATAATGTCATGCTTGATGTTTATGGTAGGATGGGTTGGTCTTGGAATAAGATTCTAGGACTTTTGGATGAAATCAGAAGCAAAGGACTTAAGTTTGATTAGTTTACTTGCAGTACTGTGATATCAGCTTGTGGGAGAGAAGGATTGTTGAATGAAGCAAAAGAGTTCTTTTCTGGATTGAAGTCGCAGGGCTATGTACCTGGGACGGTAACCTACAATGCTTTACTACAGGTGTTTGGGAAGGCAGGGGTCTACTCGGAGGCCTTAAGCATTTTGAAAGAAATGGAGGATAACAACTGCCCGGCAGACTCTGACGTACAATGAACTTGTAGATGCTTATGTGAGGGCGGGGTTTTATGATGATGGGGCTGCGGTTATTGAAACAATGACGAAGAATGGTGTAAGGTCAAATGCTATCACGTACACTACTCTCATCAATGCGTATGGTAAAGCTGGAAAGGAAGACAAGGGTTTGAGATTGTTCCATAGGATGAAAGAGTCGGGTTGTGTCCCTAATGTATGTACTTATAATGCAGTGCTTGGGATGTTAGGGAAGAAGTCACGATCTGATGAGATGATAATGATACTCTGTGACATGAAAGAAAGTGGCTGTTTCCCCAACCGTATTACATGGAATACGATGCTTGCCATGTGTGGCAATAAGGGAATGCACAAGTATGTCAATCGAGTCTTCCGGAAAATGAAGATCTGTGGTTTTGAGCCTGATAGAGACACATTCAACACTTTGATTAGTGCCTATGGCCGGTGTGGGGCGGATATTGATGCTACGAAAATGTACAAGGAGATGATTAGGGTAGGGTTCACACCGTGTGTTACAACTTACAATGCTCTTCTCAATGCTTTAGCTAGAAGAGGGGACTGGAAAGCAGCGGAATCTATCATTCTAGACATGAAGAATACGGGTTTCAGGCCTAGTGAAACCTCATACTCTTTGATGATTCAATGTTATGCCAAGGGAGGGAATGTGAAAGGAATAGAGAAGATTGCGAAAGAAATTAGTGATGGTCTATCTATCCTAGCTGGATGCTTTTAAGAACTCTTGTTCTGGCAAACTGCAGATGTAGAGCGGTAGAGGGTATGGAGAGAGCGTTTCATGAATTACAGAAAAATGGATACAAACTTGATTTGGTTTTATTCAATTCAATGCTCTCCGTTTTTTTGAAGATCAACATGCATGAAAGGGCCCACGAGATGCTACTATTTATTCGCGAAAGTGGGTTGACACCTGATCTTGTGACATACAACAGCTTGATGGATATGTATGCCAGAGCGGGAGAGTGTTGGAAAGCTGAAGAAATCCTCAAAGGATTACAAAAATCCGGTGGAAAACCAGACGTCGTGTCATACAACACCGTGATAAAAGGGTTTTTCAGGAAAGGGCTGATGCAGGAGGCCATAAGAATTCTTTCCGAAATGACGACGGAAGGGATTCTGCCTTGTATTTTTACTTACAACACGTTTGTGGCAGGTTACGCTGCACAGGGAATGTTTGCCGAAATGGATGACGTTATTCACCATATGATTCAGCACAACTGCAGACCCAATGAACTCTCCTTCAAGATTGTGGTGGATGGCTACTGTAAAGCAAGAAGATACAAAGAAGCCATGGAATTTGTGTCCAAAATAAAGGAGATGGATGATTCTTTCGATGATCAGTCTATCGAGCGGCTAGCTTTTCGTGTTCGGGAGAATCTGGATTCATAACTTCACAAAGTAAGCACTTCATATTTTAGTTTTTGTTTGTTCTTCGTCGAGGATGACTTGGGGGAATTATAGAGCCGTTTGCTGTCTGAACTTGATGCAAGGAATAGATATGAAAATATTATTTAGTCTTGGGATTAAATGATAAATATTTAATTTCTAAGGGTTAAGTTGTTTTTTAATTTCTTACAGAACAAATATCATTTAGCCTTTGTGATACTGATTCCAACAAGGGGGTTGAGATTTGAGAATTGGAAATCTCTTGCTTACTAAGCTTGCATTTTGTTCAACATGTTTTGAGCTACTGTTACAATTGTGAGTTTTTGACATTAATTTTCGTTGGTTTTTTTCTTTTTTAGATTTTCAAGCTTGATACTTATTTTAAAGCTTTATAAATTTTAGGATAAATTATGCGTTTAGTACCTAAAGTTTCAGTTTTGATCTGTTTTAGTATCTAAACTTTCAAAAAAAAAAATCAAAATCATACATAAAGTTTAGTTTTGATTTCATTTTAGTATCACTGTTTAAAATTTGACGTTAAGTTTTTAAATAATTTGAAAGTTTAGATACTAAAACGAATAAAAAAATAAACGTTAGGTATGCTTTTAGAAAAAAATTAAAAATTTAGGTACTAAAACGAATCAAAATTTATTTTTTTGATAATTTCAGATATCAAAACTAAAGATATTGTACCAACAACCAGTTGGGTCTAGTGGGATAAGACACTAGATCCTTTAAGTAAGGTCAAGAGTTCGAATTTTGACGATTGTGAAGGGAGTAAATTCGGTTAGGAGGGGGTCGTTCTTGCTTCTATAATACTCTATCTGGATTAATCGATCAATAGATCGAAACCGGTGGTTATACAAAAAAAATTAAAGATATATAAAATTAAAAATAAACAGTAAAATGTACCAGAAATTAGTTGAAGAATTAAATACTAAACAGCTTAGATTTTTTCGAAGTCAATGATAACAACGATCAACGCAAACTTTATTTTGATTAAAATTTTAAATCTCGAAATTAAAAAAAACATTGAATTAATATAATATATAGTTGTAATAATGTACGAGCGCAATACTGCATAATTGTACTTAATATTTGTATTTTATAAAAGTCAAAGGACAGCCAAAAAAAGTTCAAACTTTTCGTGCTAATCATTGTCGTTAGCGTAACTACAATAATTGCATGTTTAATGTAAAGAAACAAATCGTCGCCAAAGCCAAATTGGAGACGTAATTTTAATTTAATTCAACATTTTGAATTTCAACCAGCTTTGAGCTTTAAATCTCCATTTCCATGGCGGAAAGAAATCACAGCCGCCAAATGGATCCAAAGACCGGATTCTGTTACGAAACCGGAACTTACAGTAGCCTGAGACCGCGAATCCCTCTCCCGTCACCTGACCAACCTCTCTCCGTCGCGGAATTCTGTCTCTCCATCTTCTCTTCCACTTCCACCGACGGTGCCACCGCTTTCGCCGTCAATGCAAACACCGGTCGAACGCTGACTTACTCTCAGTTCGTTTCTCAGGTCCGTTCCCTCGCCCACTGTCTCAAGAAGCGATACTCTATTTCCCAAAACGACGTTGCTTTTGTTCTTTGCCCTTCTTCGCTTCATGTCCCTGTGATTTACTTTGCTCTCTTGTCGTTGGGAATCATAGTCTCTCCTGCTAACCCGCTCAGTTCCAAATCGGAAATCGCTCACCAGATTCGACTCAGTAGACCGGTTATTGCTTTTGCTACTTCACAATCCTCTCATAAGATTCCATCTCTCAAACATGGAACTATCCTCCTCGATTCGCCCGAGTTTCTATCTTTCTTAACTCGGTCCGATATCGACGATGAAATCACTGAACGAGTCAAGATAAAGCAGTCCGACATGGCTGCGGTATTGTATTCTTCCGGAACCACTGGCCGGGTCAAGGGCGTGATTATGACTCACCGTAACCTAATCGCTATGATGGCGATGATTCATCACTACAACACAATCGAAGCTGCAGGTAGCAATAACCGACCGCGGCCGGTGACATTCTTCACCGTGCCTTTGTTCCACGTGTTCGGGTTCTTTTCGCTGTTAGGAACGGTTCTGTCGGCGGAAACGGTGGTTTTGACCGAGAGGTTTGAATTCACGGTGATGCTGAGAGCCATTGAGAAGTACAAAGTTACCGTCATGCCGGTGTCGCCGCCGCTTGTACTGTCGTTTGTTAAATCGGATTTGACCAAAAAATACGACTTGAGCTCACTTCAGGCGGTTGGCTGCGGTGGCGCGCCTCTCGGCCATGAGATAGCTCAGCTGTTCAACAAGAAGTTCCCCAACGTATTATTGTTGCAGGTAATTAATTAATTTTTATTTATGTTTTGTCCACTAAATAAATTAAGAATTAGTTAGGACTAAATTAATACTAATTGAGAATGCATTATTTTGAAATTTAAAATATTTCTGCTAATTTTTTATGTAGTTAATAAATGAATTAAAAATTAACATCCATCTATTAACTAAGCTGATTAAATTTTAATAGAAAAATATTACTCCATCTCTCCCATTAAAAATTTCTTTTATTAACTTTTCAAAAAAAAAGTGTCTTTTATTAATTTTTCAAAAGTTAAATTTTTTAAAATTTGATCATAATTATTTTAAATATTTTAAAAAATTAAATTTTATAAAATTTCAAAACCACTTCAAAGTTTTTAAAATATAATTTTTTCATATTTTTATTAATAAATCTTTTAAATAATAAAGAGTAGAAGTTCAAAAAAATCAACAAAAAAAATCATATTTTTTCAGATTAACTCTTACTAACTAAAAATATATCGATACATAATTGATAAGTACTAGGCTACTAATAATATAGCAAGATTTCGATTATTAATTAGGATTGACTATTATAAAAAATATTATAAATATAACTCTTTTTATTCAATATATTCCATTTATAATATTAAAATTCAAAGCATAACTTTATTTTATCCTACTAAATTATCTGATTATTGATAATATAAAATCTTATTTTAAAAGAAGTTATATATGTGTGTGTGAGAGATAAAAGTGGGTGTAAGAAAATTTAGAAAACGTAGCATGCCAACAAACAAATCAATTTGTATGCTAGTACAAATTATCTGTCCACTATTAATAAGTGGCCTTAAATTGTATGTTTAATTTTGTTAATTAGTTAAGATTAAATATATTATTTGTACGTTAAACATTATTATCTAATACATCGTGGCGTGAATATTTAAAAATCTTAAATAATTAATTAATATTACTCTTTTTTGTCGGGAGGGTCACTCTTATCTTTGTAATATCCTATTCGGATTAGTTGATTAATAAATCGGATACTGATAGTTATACTAAAAAAAATAATACTCTTTCTTGGGTTAATGTTAAACTATTACTTTGGTTCATTTCCTTTATGTAAAGGGGTATGGGCTGACCGAGACCGGAGGAGGAGGAGCTACTACGGAAGGGCACGAGGAAGTGGCTCAGCGTGGGACTGTGGGCCGCCTTGCTGAAAATATAGAAGCAAAGATTGTGGATTCTGTGACCGGAGAGTCGCTACCACCCGGACAGAGAGGGGAACTATGGTTGCGAGGTCCAGTAGTAACGAAGGGTATACACTCTTTTTGCCTTCTATTTCTATAACAACTCCGTACATTGCTTATCCTAATCGAATGGGACGGACGTAAGATTTTATATTACGAATCGAATTTAAACTTATAAAATTTTAAGTCAGTCGCACTTAAACTTATAAAATTCTAGGAGAGTGAAAATATATTTTCAATAGAAAATACAAAAAAAAACTCTGAAACATATAATAATTTTAAATTTTAAGAGTAGCGACCGTCCCCATCCATCCCGCTCCGGTCCATCCCTGGGCATAGCGCTCTTCGGCCATAGAATATTTTTTTCCCTAGGCAAGTGATATATCTAGTGGTGCCAATGCAGGTTATATAGGTGATGAGAAGGCAACTGCTGAAACCTTGGACTCGGAAGGCTGGTTAAAAACTGGTGATATTTGTTATTTTGACTCTGAGGGGTTCCTTTACGTTGTAGATAGACTGAAGGAATTGATCAAATACAAGGCTTATCAGGTGAATTGAGTTTCAAGTTTTAACCCCTATATGGTTATGGTTAACAGTGTTGAATTACTATTTTTTTGGACCGAAGTAAATCTCATTGTCTTCAAAACTAATGGCAGGTGCCTCCAGCAGAACTGGAACAATTACTTCATTCCCATCCTGAGATTTCTGATGCAGCAGTGATTCCGTATGTATTTTGTTTCTCTGTTTTCCCCCCTGAAATTGCCGAGGTTGCACCTTCTGCCTATATGTAAATTTCGTGTTTAGTACCTAAGCTATAAATTTTGATCCGTTTTGGTACATAAGCTTTTAATTTTTCCAAAATCACACTTAAAGTTAAATTTTATTTCATTTTAGCATCCTCGGTTAAAATTTTAGTTTTTGTTTCATTTTGATACCACATTCAAAATTTAAGTTTTGAATTTTTTTTGTTGTTGAAAATTTAGGTATTAAAATGGACCAAAATTAATAGATTAGGTACTAAAAGCATCAAGTTTTTAACAGTGAGATACTAAAATGAAATGAAAACCAAATATTAAATATAGTTTAAAAAAACTGTAAGTTTAGGTACTAAAACTGATAGTTCAAATATTAAATGTGTAGTTTTTCCATGTATCAACCACGTGTTTATAGGATGCCTTAGGGGAAAAAAATGAAACTATGGAGACCCAGGGTGTACGACCCTTAGTTTCGTATGAGTATTTCAAGGTGGTTAACAGTTTTCTTCTCGTAACAAATTGTTTGATATGAGGACAGATACCCCGATGAAGCAGCAGGACAGATTCCGATGGCTTATGTTGTGAGAAACCCCCCAGGAAGCAGCCTCACTGAAGCTCAAGTCATGGATTTTATTGCACAACAGGTATGCTTCCATATTTGTTCCTAGTTTTTCTGGTTTTTTCTTCTAGGAACAAATTTAAATTAGGTTTCCAAACCGAAACCCTGTTCACATGTGCACACCATCACAAATTCACATTCTTTCGACTAATTATTCTAAGCTTGAACATATAACGGGTAAACCATGCACTTGACATGTTTGTGAAGTTTCTAATCATAATTGATATAATAGTCCGTTGTACCGGAATTTTTTCTTGCAGGTTGCACCGTACAAGAAGATCCGACGTGTAGCATTTATCGATTCGATTCCAAAATCAGCAGCAGGAAAGATCTTGAGGAGGGAGCTGGTTAACCATTCAACCTCGGGTGGTTTGTCTAGACTATAAACCATACCTCAAATGATAAACATGAAAACTTTTCGGGTATGTCTACGTCGTCTTTTTCGTGTAAGTCCAGATTAAAAACATGTTTTATTATTCCAACCAAGCGATTCGTGTGAATCACATTTTATTCTATACTTAGAAGTACAAGGAGATTCGAAGAAATCAAATTTCCTCTTAAGGGAAACCCAGATATAGTGTCATTCCAACTAAGGCTAAATTCTTTTATTAACTCACTGCGTCCTCCATAGATAAATAAAAACAGAAGGGTCGATGCCGAAATTACAGCCTCCTAGACCATAAAGCCAAGCCTCTTACTTGGCTTTTGAAACAGCATCCACATGAACAATAAGGTCGGCGAACTGCAAAACCAAAATAAAACAAGAACATAATAGGTTTCTATTTGGTCTTATAAAGGTAAAGACGCTATGTAGTAAAACTGTGGCAGTAAGTTACCTATAGCCCCATTCATTGTCGTACCACGAAACAAGCTTGGCAAACTTGTCATTCAGAGCAATTCCGGCTTTTGCATCGAAGATACTGGACCTGGATAATTGAGCAGACACATTATCACTACATTGTATTTATCAGACACCATTAAACCAACTCCAATCCAGAAAATTCAAACCACTATAAGATACGAGTCTTTCAACCGATAACAAACATGAAGAAGCAATAATCACTTGAACTTTTACAGATGCATTGCAGACCTACACCCTTGACAATTTAGGTACATGGGGTCCATATATCAATCGAGTCTTTCAACAGATGACAAACACAAGAACTAAATGATCACTCATATCTCTTTTATATATGCATCATAGACTGTTGCCCTTGATTCACAAGGGGATCTATACCATTACTGCTGCTAGCAGCACTAATTGGCCCATGGCTAAAACGCAAATTGGCAGGATGCAGAGGATTTCACCCCTAATGTTGTAGTAATAAATATGCACTTTATCTTTACCTGCTGTCACCGACAAAGTCGGTGGAAACCAGATCTTCATCAGTGTAATCCAAGATTCCCTTTAACAATCCAAGACAGAATTGGTATTAGAAGTTAAGTCAAAAAAGGGTACAAAAGACATGGAATAATAACTTCATAACTGTTCGGTTAATTGTAAGCTAATGTTAAGATCTAATAAACATTGTACCTACCAACAGCGGTTAATTGTAAGCTAATATTAAGTACTAATAAGCATTGCATCTACCAACAGCGTACGAGAATATACATTCCTTACTTGATAGCATCTTTGATTTCGTCGTAAGAGGCTGCTTTCTCCAGTTGTAGCGTGAGGTCGACCACTGAAACGTCAAAGGTGGTAATATGGAAAGCCATTCCGGTTAATTTTCCATTCAAGGCAGGAAGCACCTTTCCAACAGCCTCGTGACAAAACAGAATTCATCCCAAAAAAATTTTAGCATTGCTGAATTAGATGTTTGTATTGTGAAGAAAACTAAGCAGCCTAGCCCACTGAAAAGAAAATTCATCAATCTGGACACGTTTCTTACCTTGGCAGCTCCAGTACTGCTAGGAACGATGTTGAACGAAGCAGCTCTTCCTCCTCTCCAGTCCTTAATTGATGGGCCATCCACAGTCTTTTGTGTAGCTAATAAGATTAAACAACACAGTTAATACATAGAACATACTAAGTTAATTAACTGTGCTAGGCTTCTGGTGTAAAGCTTACCAGTAATCGAATGAACAGTCGTCATAAGACCCTCAACTATGCCGAATTTGTCATGTATGACCTGCAACTCAAGGCAAGATTAATCAATATAATTTCGAGTATAAGCATTAAGTCGCAGAAGAATAATAATCAAAGATCCTTAGCAAGGGGAGCAAGGCAGTTAGTAGTGCAGCTAGCGTTGGAGATGATGTCATATTCCGGCTTGTAATTCTTCTCATTAAATCCCATGACAAACATGGGAGCATACTTGCTGGGGGCCGAGATTATTACTTTCTTACCACCGCCCTGATGATCAATCAACCAACATCACATGGGAAAATCAAAGAAACTAACGATTCAAGCTAGAAGAGTTCATAAATGGATAAGGGTATTCATAACTAAAACAAAAACATTAATAAGGAACGAATCGAAACCGACGAACAAAGAAATCATAGAATACCTTCAAGTGGGCAGCAGCCTTATCTTTGTCAGTGAACACTCCAGTTGATTCAACAATGTATTCGGCTCCGGTCTCGCCCCACGGGATCTCCTCTGGGTTCCTAATGTTACAATTCACTCAGCGGTGAGCCATACATAGTAAACAAAAGAAGGTTAACATATTCCTTATATGGAGCAGTTCAAATATATTTCATGTGTAAAATACATCATTTTTCACTGGATTTTACCCTCATTCGTATTTTATTTATTGTAATTTTTCTTCAATTTACTTATTAAAATTTTGAATTATTTTTTTTCATTTTAAATTATATTATTATTATTATTTTGATATTTATTTTAAATTATTTTTATATTAAACAATAACAAAAAATTTCACATCATATTAAAATAATAATGAAATAATTTAAAGTGACCAAAACAAGAACAATTCAAAATGTCAATAAATAAATTGAAAAAAATTTAAAATACAATAAATAAAATAGAAAAGGGAATAGAGTTCAATGAAGAACGATATAATTTACTCATATTTCTTTTATAGTCTCGTACGAAATAAATAAAAGTAAATTTAAAAATAATGAAAAAACGTCAACTATTGTTGGTTTGAATCTTGTTCATTTAGTATGAATTAAGTAATTTCGGTGATAAAAAAATTTATTATTATTTTTTGAAATATCAAATTCGAACATATAAAATATTAAAAATTTAAATATTTAACGTCAAACGACTAAATATTATCTTTAAATATATATTAACTTTTATTTACTCCGTATTAATCAAAAAAATAAAAATATTGTTCATTTTTAGCCTTGCACAAGGATTTAGCAGTTCAGCCCAATGGTCTTTACTCGAACATCCATTCACTTATATCTTCCATACGCCGACGTTTAGGACGGGAGTTCAGTTTGAGGTTCAACTGTTCAAGTGGTGGCTCTACATAAAACGACGTTGTTCCTATATGTATTAAACTTAACTTTGTAATCCCTTTAAGCGCTCCGCGTTTATCATATTGGTAGCTGTCTTCTTTTCTCCCTCTACAGTGCAATGGCCACCGCCGTCATAGCTCCCGACCCGAAAAAGCTCCCGCGCTCGGGTCGGGGCGGGTTTCAAGCTCACGGACTAACTGAAGAAGAGGCCCGAGTTCGAGCTATTGCCGAAATCGTGAACTCCATGGTGGAACTGTCACGGAAGAACCAAACGGTAGACCTCAACGCCATCAAATCCGCCGCGTGTCGAAAATACGGTCTCGCACGCGCCCCTAAGCTGGTGGAGATGATCGCTGCACTTCCTGAGGCGGACCGTGAGTCCCTGCTCCCTAAACTCCGAGCCAAACCTGTCCGAACCGCCTCCGGAATCGCAGTGGTGGCGGTTATGTCGAAGCCGCATCGGTGCCCGCATATTGCGACTACGGGTAACATTTGCGTGTATTGCCCCGGTGGACCGGACTCGGATTTTGAGTATAGTACTCAGTCGTATACTGGATATGAGCCGACTAGCATGCGAGCAATTCGAGCCAGGTAAGTTTTTTTTCCCTTTTTGGGTTGATTAATTTTCTTAGTTTGAGGCACTGAAGTCGTTTGTTTCTGTTTTGATATTTGGGAACTTTTCAAATATGAATATTTAGTTACAATTGGAACCTTGTGTACTCATTCTTGTTCATTGAAATCAATAGGAGCTGCCTACTAGCGATAGGTTGTGTTGGAATATTAGAGGCGAATGGGGTTTAATTGAATCAGGTCGAGCTCAAACTGTGAGAAGCTTGAGCTACGCTCAAAATTTGATGCTTGAAGCTTGAGTCAAGCTTGATCAAGTTTTAATTGTAAAGCTTCAGCCTGCTCGCTTAAGCTGTTTACCTAGTAAAAATGAACTCCATTCCTATGTTTTTTTCAAGCTTGATTAGTTGTGTTTGAGCTCAAGCTCAAATTGAAAATTCTCAATGCTAATTAAGAAAACACTCAATTGGGCTTGTGGATGACTTGATTCAATCATTACAATACTCAATTAGGTTCGCTTGATCTCTCGAGTTTGACTTGACCATTAAAGAGCCAATTTTTCTTTTTCTTTTTCAAGTTGAACCCAAATAACTTGAAATTATGTGTCCCATACCCACCCTAAGGGTGAAAAGCACTCTTTTGTTTTCTCAAATTAGTTTGGCGTTTTGGTTTTTGCTTGAACCAGCTTTTGAGAACCCACATGTCATGCAAAATTTAGCAGTAGTGATGTTTCATGATCTTTGACAATGAGAGAGAAGAGATTGTTGCATTTGTTCGGTTCTGTCGGATTAAATTCTGAGGCAAACTTGATCTATAATGATTCCAGGTATAACCCATATGTCCAGGCGAGAAGCCGGATAGATCAGCTGAAGCGATTGGGTCACAGTGTGGATAAGGTTTTAATCTTCTCCATATTATTAAGTATTTGCTTTTGTTTTATGGCTTTCAGTTCTATGGTATAGCTAGAACTTAGAAGTCGACCTTTGGTGCTCTTAACAGTGTCCTGATGGGATTTGCAGGTTGAATTCATCTTGATGGGTGGTACTTTCATGTCACTTCCTGCAGATTACCGAGACTATTTTATTAGGAATCTTCATGATGCTTTATCAGGACATACCTCTGCCAATGTTGAAGAGGCAGTTTCTTACTCCGAGCATAGTGCAGTGAAGTGCATTGGAATGACAATTGAAACGTAAGTTATGATGCAGTTGTCTGTGCATACGCTTCAGCTGTGTGATGACTGGATTTAATCTTTTGAGAATTGTCAGGTTTAACTTATTTTCTATGATTGGGACTCAAAAAATGATTATTGGCACTTATAAGTATTCATGCATTTATTTATTTATTCAAGAAATGGGATTACTAGGTGTGGTGTCACTTGCAGTTGAAAATATGTTTTTTCTTGCAGTTTCGTATTTCAGAAATATGTAATATGAATTGATGGCTAATCTCATTGTGCATGATTAATTTAAGGTTGACTTCTTCTGATTCTGATCTGCAGTAGGCCAGATTATTGCCTCGGCCCTCATTTGCGCCAAATGCTTTCTTATGGTTGTACAAGACTGGAGATTGGAGTCCAAAGCACATATGAGGATGTCGCTCGTGACACTAATAGAGGACACACAGTTGCTGCGGTAGCTGATTGTTTTTGCTTGGCAAAGGATGCTGGTTTCAAGGTATCTTAAATACCATGCTATACATACCATTTTCTAGAGAATGAAAATTGTTTCCTTTACTCTAGTTATCTCTCTATATAAAAGAATCCCCCAATCTTTATTCTTCTTCATTGTTCTCTCTCCTATTTTGCGTTGCACAGCCATTGAACTAATCAAAAGATCTTTTGAACAATAAACGACATTGTCTAGAACTAACCATGTATCCAGTTGACTGAAATCAAGATATCTTTTATGCATTTACTTTTTTTCTATTATCAGTTTTATCCTCTCCTTCCTGAAATTTTCATTGCTTTTCTGGAGGTTGTTGCTCATATGATGCCTGATCTTCCGAATGTTGGCGTTGAGAGAGACTTGGAAAGCTTTAAGGAGTTTTTTGAGAGCCCTTTATTTCGAGCTGATGGGCTTAAAATTTACCCCACCCTTGTAATCCGTGGAACTGGCCTATATGAGCTCTGGAAAACTGGCAGGTATGGTTTCTTTAATTTATTGTCAGAGATTCCTTCGGTCATTATTTTCCTTTGGATATCTGGGTCCTTTCATGTTTAACAGGAAGCAGTAATTATACTATTTATTTTCAGGTATAGAAATTACCCACCTGAGCAGCTTGTAGACATTGTGGCAAGGATCTTGGCCATGGTTCCTCCTTGGACACGTGTTTATAGGGTCCAGCGGGATATTCCAATGCCTCTGGTTACTTCTGGGGTTGAGAAAGGAAATCTTCGTGAACTAGCTTTAGCACGTATGGATGACCTGGGCTTGAAGTGTCGGGATGTTCGAACACGTGAAGCTGGAATCCAGGTGAGGACACACTCACACACAATGTTGCTTCTCAGGAATATGTTCAATACTGAAAAGCGTTACCCTTTCGGAAATGTAATGACATATTTATTTTTGATACAGGATATCCACCATAAAATTAAACCTGAAGAGGTTGAGCTTGTTCGACGTGATTATACAGCAAATGAAGGTTGGGAAACATTTTTGTCTTATGAAGATACACGTCAGGTACTGCAAGGGCCCTCTCTTTCTATTGTGGTGTGGTCATGTGGGTGGTCAGTCTAAAGTTGATTGTTTGTAACATTTAGATAGCTATTTCATGCGCTGTTGTTAACTGGCATAATTGCAGCGTCTTTCCCCTGTTCATGTATATTAATAATATTATATATCTAATTTGAATCTGTCTCCATCGATTTTGATACTGCTCGTACATCTTGATACAGAGTTGTCTGTGCTAAATCATAATACGCCTTCTTGTTTTGGACACAGGATATTCTTGTTGGGCTGTTGCGGCTGCGAAAATGTGGCCGGAACACTACTTGCCCCGAACTAATGGGGAAATGTTCTATCATCCGTGAGCTTCATGTGTATGGAACCGCCGTTCCGGTGCACGGCAGGGATGCTGACAAACTGCAACATCAGGTAATGGTCAAATCACTAGTACTAAAATAAAACGTAAAAAGAATGGAGTCTAACAGAAGCTACCCTAATTGGAGGTGGATATATTCCTTTAAAATGTCCGGACTAGCCAGGTCATCGAGTAAGCATCGGCTGACTCTGTGCGCATTTGTGTTTTTGGGTCTTTGCAGGGTTACGGTACACTTCTGATGGAAGAAGCTGAACGGATAGCCAGCAGAGAACATAGATCGACAAAAATAGCTGTTATATCTGGTGTAGGAACACGGCATTATTATAGGAAATTAGGGTATGAGCTGGAAGGCCCTTACATGGTGAAATATATCGTCTGATGAGGTTAGTTTCGAGATACAGAAAACAGCTTAAAATTCTAGCAACGCATAAATCGTAATTTTTGTTCAAATTGTTTGCCTGCATGAAGCCGTATTTGTATGCTCTCCTTCAAATATTTTCAGAAGATCACGGAGATTTATACGGTTTCTTGATAGAATATTATAATACAAAAGGTGGAGTGTTGGAGTATTTCCATTGATTGTTAAGTTCGATTCAGACATAGGATTGCAGTGCTTGGAAGATCTTAAAATTAAAAAGATGGACCAAAATGAACATGTATTTCTCAACTGAGCAATAGTGTTGGTGATTATAGATAATTCAAGTATATGTTGTGTTAAATATATTCCATGTTTATTAAATATATAATATAGTTTTATAACTTTTAAGGGGAAATACGTTCTGGTTGGAAATAAACAAATCATTTTTATAAACACTATAGTTTAGTCACTCAAAATATTATTACAAACAAGTTGATAGTAGTTAAATATTAGATGGAATGATGTGATTAGTATAATAGAAGTTTTAGGCTTTAAAATATATGCATTTCGTCAAGTTTTAATTGAAAGAATTTAATAGATTTATTTTTTTTATAATTAATATTTTTTCAGTTTGGTCTATATTCTTTTTCTATACTAACCGTTCTTCCTTATTTATGTTACTGTTTTATGGTAGAAATCAATTATTCTAGTTCTGCTTTGATATGATAATATTGTAAAACAACTAAGCTGATAAAAAATTTAGATATAAAAGATTATATTTATTGAATTATTTTAAATTAGGATTAAATTAATAAAATTTTAGATATTTAAAATAAATTATCATTATATAATATCACATTAGTTGTATGCTCTAATTTTTATTATCAATGATTTTTATAACAATATTTTAATTGAATGATTAAATAATAATTTTTATTAGAAAATGAACCGTTTACTATCGTAGACAACTGTTATTTTACCCTGGGAAATGATCACGTGCGGCAGTCTTAATATACGGCTAAAAAAATATGCTGTCGGTTTTGTTATTATTTTTTTTAACAAAATCAGTAAAAAATTACCGGAAACATTATTATTTCTATCGATTTTGCTATTATTAGGCGTTTTACCGGTTTTGGTAACATATTCAGTAAAACGTTACTTAAAATATTATTTTTTACCTAGTTTTTCTACCTCGTTTACCAATATTGGTAATTAATAATAATAACAAAACCGGTAGAAATAATAATGTTCCCAGTAATTTTTTATCGGTTTTATTAAAAAAATAATAACAAAATCAGTAGCGTCTTTTTTTAGCCGTAGATTAAGGTTGCCGCACCGTAAAATTCTCCCCTAATTATTATTATACCATACACTTCCTCAGGAGAAATGCACAAATGAACTAGGCAAATCAAAATTACATATTAAAGAAAGGTACCTTCCAGATCAGTTACAAGAAGTAAAACCACTCAATCCTTGTTTACTCAAAAGTTGGCAGTTAAAGCCATAGCTACGGCCGGACGTTCGTAATCAACGCTCGTCTCGGATTCCCATAACAGAAACAACGTGAGTCCTATATATATATTAGTCTCCCTGGCTTCGTATCTCACCTTCCAATAGCAAAAAGAATGGCGAAAGAAGTGATGAGTGGTTGGACAAGGGTAGGAAATGTATCACGTGGGGTCAGCAGTGTCATCAGAGAATGCATCTTTGGAGTTCTTAGAGTTGGTCCAATCCCTAACCACATTGCTTTCATCATGGATGGAAACCGACGATATGATAAGAAACAGAATCCCGGTGGGGCTGCCGTCAGTGGTGGCCATGATGCTGCCTTTTGGGCTCTCGTGGCTATGGTGATGTACTGCTATGAGCTCGGGGTGAAATATGTCACTGCCTATGCCTTTAGCATCGACAACTTCAAACGAAAATCAGAGGACGTTCAAATACTCATGGATTCGATGTTGCGGAAATTCGATCTCCTGGAGAAGGTCGCCATACATTTTGCCATTAGGGTTCATTTTGCTGGGAACTTGGGGCCCTTCAACAATGAGTTCAGGGTTTCAGCCATGAAACTAATGGAAGCTACTGCCGGATATTCCAATTCGTTGCTTACTATTTGCGTTGCATACACTTCAAGAGACGAGATCTTGCATGCCATTGAAGAATCTTGTGAACAAAAGTGCATTGATCATGTTCGAGAGATCAACAGCGATGGTGATCATATTATAAAGTTGATGGACCTTGAGAAGAACATGTATATGGCAGTTGCACCGGATCCGGATATTATAATCAGGACCGAAGGGGAAAACCGGCTGAGCAATTTCTTGCTGTGGCAGAGTTGTGGTAGCCATTTATGTAGCATGTCGGTACTTTGGCCAGAGATCGAGTTATGGAACTTGGTGCTTGCAATCTTGAATTTTCAGAAACATAAACCCTACCTTGAGAGGAAGAAGAAAGAAAAACAAGTATAGATTGGGAGCCATGTAACTTGATGTAATGTTGTATTTCATTTTTAACTAAAAGTCATATGCATTGTGTATTAAAAAAGAAGAAAAAAAATGTCAAAATCTTAATCCTAAGATAAAGTTTAAGAATGGGTTATATAACTACAAGAAGATTTCTTTGTTTCTTGGAAAAAGATCATATTTATCGAGGGTTAACGATCGGGTCAGGTTCAAATAGGGAAGAAATAATCCAACCGTAAACCGGCAATCCATGTGTAGGAAATCAACTGGAACGACATTCAACATTTGGGGCACATGTTCAGGGGAAGTAGAACACATCCCTAATTTTACTTGTATTAGTTCCTAACGACGTGAAACTGAGATAATTTACATACCCTGATTGCAATTTGAGCATTGTAGCACTACCAGCACAACCCATCATATATGTGTGTATAATGCCATCCCGTAAAAAAGCTTGTGCCAACGGAACAAGTGAAAGTTAAGTTGAACAGAGTTTTCAAGTTCGGAAAACGAAAATTTAGACTGAAAAATAATTTTACACGGGCTGTTGAACTGCGGTATCAGTACCGTTACTTCTGGCCATTCGGGTTTGCTCTAATGGTGCAGAATGACTGAATGGTGGAGGCTGATCTAGTTCAGATTCCGTTGTTGGAGCTGCCTGCATTGAATGGTCAAATTTACAGGCTGGTCCGAACTTGCAAATGCCGTACCGACTGTAGTGTGAGCAGATGCTTTGATCCTGGATTTCAGGTCATGTTTTCAATTTCAGTGTGCATAAAAAAACCTTTTTTTTATATAAAAAAATCACCTACCAAGTTCATATATATTTGATAAAAATCATAGCCTAAAGGAGTACAAACTTACAGGTCTCAGTGGCAAGCCCTTGTCGCTGAGAGCACATGGAGCCGGCTTTGCAGATCGATCTTTTGGATGATGATATTTGCAATTAGATTTAAACTTACAGTCCCCAGTTTTCAGGAAGTAAGTGCACTCGGGTTGGCCAGGCCGCACTGGGAATTCATCAACCACCATCTGTGGATGATGTTGATTATAGACAATGGTTTCGGTTGAGGGGTTGCTCATGACATATGCTGGGGATGGATGCAAACTCCTTCCAGGTGTGGGATAAACAGGGGCCTTGACAAAGCAAACAAGAGCAAGTCATTGTTCGGAACCATATTGGTTATAAGTCTTGAAAAAGCAAAGCTGATTTATTGGAGAAAAACATGAGCTTCTTGAGTTAATGTAGTGAAATAAATAAAAGCTAAAATTGCAACAGAAGCAATAAATGTGTGTTGGATGGAGCACAAAAGAACAACTTATTACGTGGAAAACATTTGATTCTCCATCTTCGAGCATCTATTAACACTATATATTGTCACAGCAATTAGTATATCTTATCTACCAACTTCAAACACTTTTCCATGCAAAAGCAACATTAGATAAAACCACACAAAGCAATCTGTCATGCGGGAAACTGAACCAATGTCAAGGTTCTACTTAGCTTTCGTTGGTGAAAGTCTCACCATTTTTTACTCCGCTGAAGAATGAATATAACAGTGTTTTTGTAGTCTCCTATACTTGGCCTGTATATGACTATGTCTATGCCTACATGCACATGTATTTCAGAACATGATACAAAAAGTGACCTAGCTTCATCAAGAAAGGTTGAAACTTGAAAGTCAGCATAATTTCAACTAAAATATTCTGAAGATGGCCAAAAGTAATGAGTTTTGCTAACGAGTGCTATCCACTTCTTCAAGTTAGGTAAAAGACTATTCAAGTATTTATAGTGATACTTTTGTATTCAATGCAGTGACCGACATTGTCGTGAACTCCAATGCATTGAAAAATAAATTATTTCAAATAATAACCTTAATGATCCCCCCCTAATGGCTTATAGGGTATTTGTTTGTAAAACCCATAGAGTACAAACATACCGAGAAACTAGTTTTAACCATCTGATCTTAAGAATTGAAAATATTCCATTAATAATCTGAATAGATGCTAAGATGAAGGCAAGGACCACGTAATGCTAAGATAAACTTAAACGGATGCCATAGACTATAATATCATAAACTAAAACAGTATAGGGGCAGTTATAGTACCTGATACCCATTCCATTCTGGATTTGGAGGTGGAACAGCTTGAGTTGGCGGCGGGAACATAATTGGCATATAGGGAGCAGTAGGAGTCTCATTCAATACCCTTGGTGAGGACCAGGATGCCATATTCACTTGTGAAGCAGCTTGCGATGAAACAGATCCACCATTACCATATGCTGCAGGTGGGTCACATCCTCCAGCAGTGGTAGGATCAGGATGATTGAACCTGCAGTTGATTCCATATTTGCAGGACCCATTACGCATGTAATAGGGGCACTCTCTCTCTCCCTGTAATAAATCAAAACTTTCAAATTTCCAAATTGATTCCTCCAAACAGCCACTAAAAAGCCAACTCCTACGATTTGGTTGATTGTAGAACAAATGCAAATGAGGACCAGGACTTGAGTTACGGAGTCCAGGAAAAATCAATTAACAAATATAACAAAAACAGACGTGGTACCTGTCGGATAGGGAGTCCCAGAAAGTTAAGTTCTAAAATTGGAGCCGCTGAAGATTTAGCCCTTGAGTGATTGTATCTACATGCCTTACCAAACTTACATCCACCAGTTCTTAGGTAATACTGCAAATATCTCGAGCAACATAGTAAAATGGTAGGAGATCACTAACCTTCATTAAAAGAATTATAAATTGCACAACATTCAGTGATGGAAAGGATACTGACCTTGCATTCTGTCTGGCTTGGTTGATCATTTTCCTGGAATTTTTCCTGAACATACTTCAAACATCGTAAAATCCAAAATACCCAGAATTAAAAAGTCAGCACGAAAGCGATAAGTATATGTATGTGGAAAACAAGCTAATCTCAAAATTAACAAATATCAGAGTAATATAGCAACAATATCAATAAATCAATAGAAAGCTAACAAAGCTCAAATTCAGCTAAAGGAAGAACATTAATAGAACATGTAAAGATGATAAATAAGATGGAAGTTAAAATAAGGTGAGAAAAGGACCTGATTCTTCCTTTGAAAAGGATGATTAAACTTGCAATTAGACCCAAATTTACAAAGTCCAGTTTTCATATAATATGCGCAATCCTCTGCGTCTGGTCTCACCGGATAAAGCGACCTCACTGCTTCATACCTCTTCACGTTTTCACCATCATTCTCGCCCTCGTTTTTATCCTCCTCATCTTCTTCTTCTCCGGCAGCGCCAGAAGAAGCATCGTCGTAACCATTGTCGCTTTTTCTCTCTCCATCGTCTTTCGTCTCAGCAGCCTCCTCCTCTTCCTCTTCGTCCTTCTTCAAATCAAGGTCCTGCAACTGCTCTTCGAGACTGCTCTCGTCATGCCCGGATTCCTCAGCCTTCTTATTAAGATCAGACAGCATCAGCGACTCGTCGGGATTCGGAGTCGGATCGGGATCGGGAGAGTTATGCCCTACAACGTTAAGGGCGGAATCGGCTAGAGCAGTCGTTTCGGAGATCGGGGCTTCTTCAGATTGTGACATTGTCAATCCACATTTCAAAACCCTAATTTCAGCAGAAAATTAGGAAAGAGTTAAGAGAGAGAATAAACTATAAAGATCAAAGCTTTGTTGTGAAAAAAATAGATGCAAAAGAGTGTGTGAACTAAAAGGCAATGAAAAGAATAGTGAGTAAAATTAAAATAAATGATTGTCCTTTTTCTCATGTGTATGGGGTAAAGAGAGGTAAGATAGTACCCAACATCAGGTTGAGAGCAGTTTCTGTAAGAGACCTCTGAATTATGAAATGTCTTATGTGGGACTCGATCCCACAACCTCGAGATTAAAAGAAACTTTCTACCGTATTTTCCGGTTTATTATACAAAATAGTACCTGAATAACTTTTTTCTTCTCAAATTAGAACTTAAATCTGAAAAGAATTCTCAAATTAATATTTAAATTTGAAGAAAATTTTAATTGGTACATAGTATTAATGTAGTATTTCAACTACCAATAATATTATGACACTTGGAAATTTAATGATATCATCATTTTTCCCTATCAATGTTATGTCAATAACAACACAAATATCAATTTGATTTTTTTTTCTAAGATTATATACTAATTTGAGTTAAAATTACATTCAAGTTCTAATTTGAAAAACGTTATGAATTTAGGTACTAATTTGTATAATAAACCTTTTTCAGTTGCATATTTTTTGTGTTCTTACGCATACTTTGTTTTACTTTTTGCTTTTCTAGAAAGTGCTTTTAACTGTTATTCTGTCTGAAATTCGTCACACTTTTTACGTTTATTATACAATTTGGTACGTCAATTTTTATTTTATCTTGAATCAGTATTTAAATTTGAAAAATCTCAAATCAATATTTGTGTTGATTTACATCTTAACAGACAATTAATTGAAGAATGACACTGACCCAAAGAAATAATGTTGTTATTAAGTGTAATGTGTTACAATATTATTGATTGTTAAACTAATATATCAACATTGGATAGTAATTTATTTTTTTAAAATTAAGTACTAATTTGTAATAAAAATTTAAAAATCAATGTTAAAAAGGTTGTTATGTAACATTGTTACTATTACAACATTCAAGAGATTGTAAATTAAAGTGTACTTAAAAATACTTAATTAATTCTTATCTAAAAATTAAAGGTTAACATGATTTAATTATTATAATTTAGGATAAAGTACACAAATGGTCCCCTGACTATAGAGTATTGTTTTATTAACTCCTTCGACTATTAAAAGTTATAAAATGGTCATTCGACTACAGAGTGTTGCTTTGTTAAGTCACTCCTCTATTAAAAGTTACAAAATGATTATCTGACTATTTATTATGTTCCAAAATCGTCCTTTTTCGTTAAAAAATTAATAGTTGTCTAAGTTGGATGTTAACATGATGGTTGATATATGATAGTCGTTTAAGATTTTGGGATCATATTTTATCATATCACATTCAGCATGTGAACGTTTAGCTCAAAATATCGTCAATTTTTTAACGAAGTACAAGTTTGGAATATAATGAATAATCGGGTGATCATTTTGTAACTTTTAATAGTCAAGAGACTCAATAAAGTAACACTATATAGTTTGAGGACTATTTTATTATTTTATAACTTTTAATAGTTGATGAATTTAATAAAATAATATATTATATTCGGGATATTTGTATACTTTATCCTATACTTTATATAAAAATAAGTTACTTTATTTGTTATTTTTTAGAATGGAAATCTCCTGCCCCTTATGGTGCCCCACCTATGGTTTTAAAACACGTGTGCTACTTTAATTTATAAGCTTTATTTTTACTATTTTACCATTAACGGTTAAGTGGCGCTCTTGTTATTTCCGTAAGTGTTTTTATTTTTCTTAATATTTCTTAAGGCATAAAAATATATTTTTAAATTAATTATTTTTAGAAAACATATATTTTGAAAGTATTAATAATACGAAAGAAAATTAAAATATTTTTAATAAATTAAAAATATACAAATTATTTTAAATGATCTTTATTCATATTAAAATTTATTATTTGCCTAAATAACATGAAAAAAATATTAAATATAATAGGTTATTTTTTAATTACATTAAAAGAATTAAAATAATTTCAAATATTTTTTGTTTGCATTTTAAATAAAACCAACAAGAATACAAAGTGCAGTAAGTTATTTTATAATTTTCTAGATAAATAGTAAATTTTAACATGAGCAAAGATCATTAAAAATATTTTTATTTTAAAAAATTAATAAAAATACATTTTAATTTTTTCTTACATTATTGATGGTCTTTGAAAGAACACAATTATTTTACTTGTCTAACGCTCTTTAATAAATTTTAGAGGTATTAAAATTTTCAATAATGTTTTAAAATACGGAGAAGTAATATTTGAAAATTTAATTTAGGTGTTTAATATTTTTTTAATAATTGTAGAATAATAAAAAGTAATTTTAGATATTTTTTTATCTGTGTTCTAAATAACGTAAATAAGAATATGAAGTATGATAAGTTATTCATCTAAAAAAAGAAGTATAATAATTTATTTTTAACTTTTTATCAGATTATTTTAGAAAAATAATAAATTTTAACATGAGTAGAGATCATTTGAAATCATTTTTAGTTTTTTAATTTACTAAAAATAAATTTTAATTTTTTCTTATAATATTAGTAGTCTTTGAAAGACCTCTCTTTAAAACTGGTATTGCATCTTTTAGAAAATAGTATATGATTTACTTTTAATATATATATATATATATGTTCTTATATCTTCAGAAATATTAGAAATAATGGCTCGAAAGGAAAACAAAAATAGCCGTCTACAAGGATTTTCTCTCTACCGTTTTTCTGTCTATGAACGGCTCTAGCGAAGTGCCGGCGATCCCCGATGGATCTAAGACGGCAAATCTTAAACCTCCAGATCCGGGAATCATTCAGGATCTGGAGATGGTGACGTGAGAGCTAGATCACAACACTCGATCTTACGCCTCAAAGAAAATCATGAAGGGAAATCGACCTCGATGATAATTGACTTAGACAAAACAGCGGATATCAATATGGAAGACATACCTGACGACCAAAATCAGATCAAGGAAAAAGAAAGGTTTCCAAGAACTGCAGAAGCACAAATTACAACAAGGAGATCGTACGCAGACATGGTTTCAGGGAAAACAAAGCAAAACGGACAATCAAACATAATGATGGAGGAAGAGGAGTAGTCCTGGCTGAAGACGATTGCATCATAGATAGAACCGGAGATTTCCCAAGGATTAAATTTTCAGAGAGGGTTCACAATTTAATAGATAAAAAATATGCAACAAGCAGTGATAGTAGGACTGTTGGGGCGGATGATAGGGTTCAAAGCCCTAGAAGCTAGAATACAATCAATCTGGGAGCCACAAGGGAGATACCACCTAGTTGACATTGATAATGGCTATTTTATCGTAAAATCTGAAAGTGAGGATGACTACCTCAAGGTTTTAACAGAAGGTCCATGGACAATATACGGCAGTTACCTAACGGTGCAGTCTTGGAGTAGAGATTTATCGACTTCAGAAAGACATCCGTCTCATGTAGTGATCTGGATAAGACTCCCCAGTCCCCGGATTACCATACAGATGCTATACGAATGCACTCTTCAACAAGATCGCTTCTACAATAGGTAAAGTTATCAAGGTTGACTATAATACAAGCAGAGGGGAACGAGGTAAATTCGCAAGATTAGCAATCATGCTAGACCTCACTAAACCACTGCTTCCGTGCATCAGAATGGATGGTTTCATCCAAAAATTGGAGTACGAAGGACTACAGATGATTTGCTTCAACTGCGGTATTTATGGACACACAAAGGAAAGTTGCAACAAGAAAAATCAACAATAGGATGTCAATCACAAGGAGGGCACGAGCGTACCAGAACCCCATCAAAAAGATCTAGCAGAACACACACAGGAGATTCAAAAGGAGGACGAGACCTATGGACCATGGATGGTAGCTGAGACCAGAAGACGCCGACCAAGAAGAGAACAAGGTAATGGAATCACACGCACAAGAGATTACGAGCAAACGAGGGGTTCGAGATTTACTATTTTACAAGAGAATGAACCGGGTCCCGACCAAGGCAGTAAGGATGCTGAAGGAACAAAGCAATCGAAGGAAAATAATCAGCAGCAGGAGAGAAGGACTATTACGATGAATCAAAGAGAGATTAGCTAGGTGGCTAAGATAAATACAACTCAAAGCGTGCCAAACAAGAACGTGAGCGAAAAGGGACAGATTATAAATGTGAAAACCCTAAATACCAAAGTTCACGAGACCCCCCAAAAAAACGCAAGCTCTAGTGAATTCGGAAGGCACAAACATGAGGGGCGAAAAGGAAACAGAAAAGATGGATGATACAGCCATGGAGGTAACAAGAAAGGTTTCGATAATTCCAACGGTGGAGGGACAGGTTCCTGAGATTGAATTCCATAATTCGACATACGAGGATGGCACACATGACACGGTTACAATAACAGAAAACAACATCACGAAAATAAGAGACCATAAACTTTAAGTATAAATCAGGAGCAGGTGGACCTATACGAACCACTAAAGAGACAAACAACGGGGCTTCATATTGAGGCAACAGTACGAATAGAAAGTTTCAAGTAAATCAAAAATCACAGACTGGGTGAATGCCGTGTCAAAACAACTGGATGTCGTTCTTACCCCATTAAATAATACAGCCAAAGATAATAACACTGGGCTGGACTCGATCAAGGAAGAGCTATATAATAATAGAAAACTAAGCATTCAGAGATGGTTGAAATGATGGAGCAAAGCAGAGAACCAAGTTGGCTATAATCTATATAACCACAAGTCCCACATAGAATGTGCCACGGGGGCTAATAGCTAGAAAATCAAACTTTAGTTCAGTGGAATATACATGCTAATGATGTAAAGTTAACAAATCAAAGTGGCCTAACTATTGAAGAATGATGAGTAGATGATAAAAAGAAAACACACACACACAAAGCACCACACATCGATTTCTGTGTATATTCAAGCTTTCACTAATATATTTTTCTTATGGGTAAATCACAATATCACTATTGAATTTTACTCTCTCTTATATTTTACTCATTATACTTTAAATTCATTTAATTTCTTCACTGAACTTAACATAATTAGCATTTTGGTTACTCAGTTGTTTTCTCACTAAACGGAGTTACAAATGAGTTGTTTTTCTAAAACGGCATCGTTTTAACACCGTTAAATATTTAACGGCTAAGTGACTAAAAATTCTAATTATGTTAAGTTCAGTGAGAAAATTAAACGGATTTAAAGTAAAATAAGTTAAATAAGCTAGAGTGAAAAGTTTAGTGATGATTGGTGTAACCCTTTTCTTATCACCAAAGCTCTAACCATATTTAAATCGTCGTGTTTGCGTTGTACTCCACTATTTTTATTTTACTTTATAATCATATTTAAAGTTTTTTATGGTATTATATAATCTTTTACATGTTAATAATTTACGTCTCGTATTTGACTATATATTCATACTATTATTACTTTTTAGGATAAAATACATAAATGGTCCCCGGCTATAGGATGATGTTTTGTTAAGTCCTCCAAATATTAAAAGTTACAAAATGATCCTCTAACTATAGGATGTCACTTCGTTGAGTCTCTCGAGTATTAAAAGTTATAAAATGGTCACCCGACTATTCATTATATTTCAAATTCATCCTTTTCTATTAAAGATTTACGAAAGTTTGAGTTGGGCGTTAACATGCTGATTGGATATGATAAAATTTGATCTCGGAATCTCAAACGACTAACATATCTCAGTCAACATGTTAGCGTTCGGCTAGATGATTGTTAATTTTTTTAACAAAAAATGACGAGTTTGGAACTTAATGAATAATCACGTGATCATTTTGTAACTTTTAATAGTTAAAGGAGGCAATAAAGTAGCATCCTATAGTCGGGGAACATTTGTGTACTTTACCCTTTTTCATTAATCTAATATGCTTACAAGTGATAGTATATGTTCTAAAGACTTTCAACCATTTGACAACGAACGTTCAAATAGCCTACAATCTTCGATGCTCAAACTTAAAATCTCAAAGAATAAAAATTATTCTTTTAACCTTTGGGGTAGCTTGGTTCGTAAATATTTATATTATATATTATTTTATGTGTGTATTTGTCTATGTCGTATTATATTTTATATGATAATATTTTATCCAAGTTTAGGTGTTGGCCGCAGCATCCCACTGCAAAAATTGCCCTAGGTCCTACTGAATGTTTGCTTCTTTTTCTTAACAATCAAATACCCTTTTTTCTCTTTTAAATAACGTTATTAGTATTTAATTTAATAATTAATTAATTAAAAATAAAATGTTGACACATTTTTTTCTCTCCAAATTTAACAAAAAGAGGCATTCAAGATACGGTGGAAAAGGTCATTATTGGGACAGGAATTGGGACTTTTATTGTTTTAAAATATTTTGCTTTTTTATGATTTGTGTGATTAGGGTTCAAATAAAAGAATTTACAGGCAACGATCCCCACAAAATTGGTGCACCCAGAGGCAATGATTGGTAGAACTTCGGACATCTTGCACCTTTTTCTCATACCCTAGAATTTTTATGTTTTTATTCGATTTTGATTCGATCTAATATTTTATTATATTACAATCATCTTAAATATGTCTCGAATTTTATACTATATAAAAAAATTCAAAAGTCATCGATAAATAAATTAAGTTTGGTTCATTTAAACATATATTTAAGGAACAATAATAATGTTTTTACTTTTCTTTTTGAAATTTTTATTTTTATTTCTAATTTTTTAATATTTAAATATTATTTAAAAATAATTTTTATTTTTTGTTTAAAGATTAAAATAAATATTTAAAATTTAAAAAAATAATAAAAATTCAACTAAGATCATTTATCTCATTATTATTCACAAATAAATTATCATGTTAATATTATAAATTGTCTTGTTAATTCCGTAATAACTAATGAAGAGTGTATATCAATCAAACAACTATACTAATTTGGGTGATATAATTAGGGTTATCCCTAATTGCCCATCTAGCTCAGTTGGTAGAACACAATGCTCTTAACCTTGTGGTCGTGGGATCGAGTCCTACTGAGGGCAATTCATAACGGAGGTCTTTCACGAAAGTTGTTCTCAACCTGACGTTGGGGGCATCCTACTACCCTACCTTCCCCTTACTCCGTTACATATGGAAATAGGGTCAGATAATTTTTAATTAGGGCTATCCCTAGACTAACTTGAAATGATTAAAGAAAGAAATGATTTGTTTCGGCATCCCCTAGAGTAGTTTTATTGTATGTGAGATAATTAGGGCGATAGCTCGTGGGATTAGGGCACATGATCCGCCACTTAAAGATGTGTATCAATCATTTGATTCACATTTTTATTAGCTATTACCACAACTTAATCACCGAAGCAAATTAATTAGATTTCCTAGTCAAAGCCCTCAAGTCATGTGAAATAAGCTATGATTTGTTCTATGTTATATATATATATATATATATATATATAAACTGAGTTGCTTTGACGAGTTGAGTCTAATTTTTTTCCCAATAAAATCGATAGTTCGTATAGGGAAATAAGTGTTAGTGAGTAGAAAATTAGGTAGAATTATATGTATTAATGTTTAGGATAAATATTTAAATATATTTAAAATTATAAAAAAACAATATAAAAGTTAATTCCACTTCCTAAATCGGCTGTGTGGGGTGAGCTTTAATGTTGTTTTTTTCAGGATTCTTATTCACTGAACCAAAGAAGTAGAAACAAAGAATTAAATAGCAAGAAGCCCCACAAATCAGTGTAATTCAAAGCATTGAAAAAACAAATAAAAGCTTGAATCTCTCTTTGATCCTCGCACTCTTCAAGGCTCCTGTTCTCCTCGTCCTCCATATCTTAAAGCAAGTTATGGCAACAAGAAGAACCTCTCAAGACACCTCCAAAAGGCACTTCCTTTGGACCATAAAAGTCGGAGCCGAAGAAAACCAAGTACGGTCGTCCAAGTCCGACGAAGAAGAGACCAACGGAAGAAGAGCAGCTCTTAAAACCCATGCAGTTTCTTTGCCGACACCGCGGAAGAAGAAGCTTCCTTCAGCCGCCTCGGTTTCCATCGCCAGGCTTCGATCCGTCGTGTCGGATTTTCGGAGGAGCCGTTCGGGGCTGCTGTTCGGCCTCGGTTCACGAGTGGTCGGCACTCTCTTCGGTTACCGCCGTGGACACGTCCGTTTCGCTTTGCAGAGAGAACCCAATTCCCCACCGGCGTTCCTCGTCGAACTCGCCTCGCCGATAAGCGGCCTGGTTCGAGAAATGGCGTCTGGGTCGGTCAGGATCGCCCTCGAGTGCGATAAACGCAGAGAAGGAGATCGTAACGTGAGATTACTCGAAGAGACAGTGTGGAGAACTTACTGCAACGGAAAGAAATGCGGGTTCGCAACCAGGAGAGACGTCGGAGCTAATGAACGTTCAATTCTTAAAGCCGTGGAACCAATCTCCATGGGAGCCGGAGTTCTACCGGCGACCGAAGCCGAAGGTGGTGAACTTATGTACATGAGAGCTACGTTCGAGAGAATCGTGGGGTCGAGAGATTCCGAAGCTTTTTACATGATGAATCCCGACAGCAACGGTGCTCCTGAACTTAGTGTTTATTTGCTTAGAGTTTGATGCTTCCGCCATGGAAGATCTGAGAGCTAATCTTCTAGTTTCTGTTCAAGGATTGCTTTGTAGGGGAGAAATTGAGTGGGAGGAGGGAAATTACATTATAACATGTTGAGGACGGTAGGTGGGGGGTCTTAAAGCTGTGTATATGTATAACTTTGTTTTATTTAGTAATGAGGCACTAAACTTAATTGATGTAATATATATTCGGGTAAGCTGCGTGTTTAACGAAAAACTAAATATTGTCTTTTGGTTTTGAAAAAATTAAAAATTTAGGTATTAAAACAAATCAAAATTAATAATTCATATACTAAATGCACAACGTACACTATATGATTTCTTAATATTATCTATATTTGAATGATTTGTTGATTAATTTAGATCAAATATTATAACAAATTATTATAAAAATCGATTATTTTAATTTAATTATATTAATTCAACATCATTAAACTCTTGATATTAATTTAAGAAACTCAACATCATAACTTTTAGGTAAATTTTAGTCTGTTTTAGTATCTAAACTTTTAATTTTTTTAAAACTATACCTGATGTTTAGTCTTTGTTTCATTTTAGTACCCGTCGTTAAAAACTTAACGCGTTTAGTACCTAAACTATCAGTTTTGGTTCGTTTTAGTACCTAAACTTTCAATCTTTTCAAGACTTAATGTAAAAATTTTGAACAAGTGTGCTAAAATGAAACAAAAACTAAACTTTAAGTATGATTTTGAAAAATTAAAAATTTAAGTACTAAAATTAACCAAAACTAATGGCTTAGGTATTAAATACAGAATTTACCCTAATAAATAAAGGTATAACAACATAACATGATTGAATAGATTTAAATATTTATTAGAAATAATATTGATTTTCAAAAAAGGATGGTGTTTACACAGGGAATAAGGGGGGGGGGGACCATCAAAAGAGCCTAACACAAACTTATATATTTTGGGTTAATATGTGGAAAAAGAAACGCCTAGAAAATCCATGGACAACTTGGCCATTATAGATGAAAATTCACTGAAACTAATAACACCATCCCCATCGAAATCCGCTTCTCTCATCAACTCCCTCAGCTCCTTGTGCGCCAATGGATGGCCCATTTTGGCCATGCAACCGGCGAGCTCCACCGCCGTGATGAACCCCTTTCCGTCACGGTCGAACAACCACAAAACCTCCATGAGCTCTCCTTCGTTCACCGTTATCTCTCGTTTAAATGTAAGCAGTATAGCGCTCACCAGCTCGTCGGATTCCAACGGCATCGAATTCCACCGCACCGTTGCCGTTGGAATCCATGCTGGCTAGCAGGACACGGATCTGATCGCCCGACAGCTTCACCCCCAGCGACCGGAGCAGGGCCGCCAGCTCGAGCTCGGTGAGACTGCCGACAGAATCCATGTCGAACCTTGTGAAAATCTCCTCCAACTCCCTCAGTTGATCAACTCGTAATGCCACCATATTTATTATATTTGAGAAATTATCTTTTTAATCCTAGAATATACATATAATAGTCTTGGTACTAAGTTTTGGAGGGGCTCAACTAAAATTAAAAAAATATATTAAAGGGATTTGATGAAAATATCTAATAAAAAAATTTAGATTTTTTATGGGGCCAAATTAAAATATTTAAAAACCTAAAGTTCTTATGAAATTTTCTCAAAAATTTAAAGTGACTAAAATAAAATTTTTAAAACTTCTTAAAGAATTTAAAGAAAATTTCCCAAAAGCTTAGACCTTCAATCTCCCATCATAATCCGTCTCTGGTACCACATGGTTATTAGAGTGAAAATACAAGAGTGATTAATAAAATATACCATTTTATTTTTTTAAAAAAATAAATTATAAATATAGTCTTATCATGCAACTGAGATTCGCTTGTTGCATTATGAAAGAATCAAGTTCATCTGCAAATTTTGAGTGCAATTCCTTGGATTTCCCTGTAAAAGTTTCTACAACACAGCACAGCTAGAATCATCCACCGGAGAAGGGAATCCGGGAAGCAGCTTCCCAAGTCGGACAGATCAAGGGTTGGCTCTTAACAGGAAGCAACCTCCGAAATCCGGCATAATAACTTGATTTAAGTTGTCTTAACTAAAATCGATTGGTGAGTTACAGAGCAGTTCGTCGGAGAAGGCCTCGAGTAGCTCTAGAAGTTTAAGAGCCTTTTTCACTTAGGTTAAGCTTACTCTATACTACTTTTAGGGACCACATTTAAATTATTTTAGTATATTTTGCATAATTTGCAAAATTAGAAAGATTTAACGGTTTTTGGACTAATTTTGTTGTGAAAATGTTACTTTGATGCTGCAGGTGTTGTTGTGAGTCGTTGCGAAGCAGGATTGTTGAACCGTAACTATAGAATGTAGCAGTTGATGAATCACTTGGAGGTTAGAGGAATTGTCTAGAATCGAACAATTGTTCATTCACACTATAAAAGACTGGAAAATAAAGGAACAATCCTATTATTGGAGGATGCTTTGACCTTTGAGGATTATAAAAATAACATCCCCCCATACTTTTCAGACCTCCTACTGCCTTCTACTCCTAATTTTGAACTCCAGAAGGAGAAAACCTTTATTTGTCTAAGTTGAATGATATATTCGTAGATGATGCTAAACTTGGGTGTTAATTTACTATATATTTTTAGAAAATACATGTTGGTTTAACTACAAGCGCATAAAAGAGCAACCAGGTATAAAACTACAAGCGCATAAGAACTAGCATTAAGAGCAATTAGCATAAACACGGTTAGGACTTACTTTTTGCCTTCAACGTCCACACCGTGAACCAAAAATTCGTCCGCGTATCCGGAAACGAAGCTCAATACTTCCTCATCAAGATAGACATTGCTGAATTTTTGCCACCGGTCGGTGACGATGGCATATTTGTCATCCTGCAATTGAAACCAGCATCTTATGATTTAAACAACAGCCAAAATCAAAAGCCAGCATTCAATCTACTCGGTGGATAACAGTCGGAAGTAAGGGAGGAGAACAATATAGAATGTTTCTGGCAACACTCGTATTCGAAAGAGATTTGCAGAATACAGAAATATTTCCCACCTTCTTTCTGCAGCTAAGGTCCAACACGAGTCTCTTCTTCCCAACAACATTGACGATACTTTTGAGCCTTTAAAGGTCTATTTGCCCATTGTTAAATACATACTGTAACAAATCCAACAAGAAAATATACACGAGATTAGGCGAGCGTGTTTTCTCTAAGCGAACCCCGTATTATGTCAGGATTCAAAGCCTTGCAACTAGCAATGTTAAAGTTCGATAAACATACTGAAGTAACAATGACACGGCTGGCTCCTTCGTCAATGTAACTCAAACAATTATCCAAATTGATCCCACCTACTACTTGCAAGCCACCTAGATTTTTTTCCAATCATTGCAATACGTGCAACAGAGGGAAGGTCGGTAAGTATTAAACAAATTACCGAAGATATAGAACAAAGACGAGACAACCACTCACGAGAAACTCCATTCAAGATTACATAACCAATAGAAGGTACACAATAAACCAAGATTGGCATTTATCCTTCAAAGTTTTCACAATGATATCGAGCACGGTTACACCAGAGAAAGAAAATTAAGCCCCAGGTATTATAAGAACATTGCACTCAAAAGATAAATTTCAACAACTTGTACCGACACCAAACTAGTCTGCAGTTATAAGCTAAGAATACCAGAATTACTATGGAATAAAGCGAAACACTGCATCTAAAGGTCTCAATTTACCTAAGAATAGCCTGGCATTTACAAATGAAAACAAAGTTCCAACAAATTAGTATTGTCAATTAACTGACTGCTCCTATTGTGGTAAAGCATCTATCTTCAAACAAAGTACTATAACCGGGATAAACCGATCACAGAATGCGAAACTTAAATGTAAGCGTTTACCAGGATATGCACGCAATGCTTCAATGGCTGCTGCTTGGCTTAGAGGATCAGCTCCAAGCATGATTACATGACCACCCATTAGTCCTTCTTTGTACAACTCCACAAACTCGGCTGCGGACTTATGCGATTCGAAATTGGTTACAAGGGTTGATCCATCCTCCTTTGAATCTAAAAGAGTCGACCCAAAAATTTACTTCACTTTCCCCTGGTAATAGATCATATTGTAGGTGTTAAGAACTACAGAGAAATTTCAAAGCCAATCTCACACAAGCACCAATACACGATTATGACTGTTACTCCATAGAAATGTCATAATAAAATATCATGTAAAGAGTATGAGCTTTCTGAAACCAAAAGCGAACAAAAATCATTACTTTGTACTGAATTTACCTTGTGAGTATCAATGCAAGGTCGAAAACTGACAGCGCAGCGAACAGGGGAACGGCAAGATTCTGCAAGAAAATTTTGGTTAGATTCGAGAAACCCAGCAAGGAAAAATTGTAAGGAGTCGGAGAAATACTGAAACTAAGTGAAGGGATGGCGGGTCTGGGAAATGGAAGGTTGGTAAAGCCATAAAACGAAGACTTGAAATTGCTGCCATGGGAAATGCTACTACTCAGCTCCCTTATCGAACAACTCCCATGGAGGCTGCTGCTTCTCATCTTTGAAATCCCCCTTTTCTTAGAATTTTCACAAAACCCCTCGGCCTAGACGAAGACTGAAGAGGAAATTTTTTGGGATTTAATCTATTTGCCAGTTTGATCGTATACTTTCATTCCGTATAGAATAAAAATGAATATTAGGCTCGAACTTAATGGATTATAATCTCATTTGACTTATAGGATAGTTTTTGAAGTTTAGGTTTGGGCTGAATTGAATCGGGTATTTTGAAGGATAACATCGGGTTTGGGTCGGATTTAATATTATTGTAAAAAAATATCTGATTCGATTTAAAAATAACATTATAATTGACATTTATATATTTAGGGATAATTGTTATAATACTTTTAATCCATAATTTTTTAATTAAATTTTTATTTTACCTAATAAAAATATAAATTATATATATGAGCAAATGTGTCAAATTGGATGCAAATTTAACTTCGAAGTTGGATTCAAATTTTTAACTTACAAATTAGGTCGAGCTTCAGATCAAATGAAATCTTCTTATTATATTTAAGTCGGGTTTCAAGTCAAATGAAATCTTCTTATTATATTTAAATTAGGCCGAGTGACTTGTGTTATACTCAAGTCAATTAAGCCAAAAA